TTTGCCTCTAAGTATTCTTTAATCCCGGTTGGACTTCTGAGCTTTTTATCTCGTTGTATTATAACCCCTTTGTCCATTAATGTAGATTATTTACGTTTTAACAAACACATTTTTGGTGGATCAACACCTCGTTTTAATGATGCGAATGATCAAAAAAAAATGCAAAAGAACAGAAAATGAAAGGAGAAAAAAAATTAGTGAGATAAGGATAATAAAAAAAATGAAAATGAAAAGTCCTGCCCCACATGATATCTACCCCACATGCTTTAATTCTTACCCGGACATGATCTCTATCCCGCATGCTAATTTCAAACAAATCCTAACCGCATATTTGTCTAGTTCGCATGCTTTTGAGCAGAAAATAAAGTAGGAAATAAAATAGCCTAAGGTTTGGAATGAGGTTTTGGGGTGGGCTCTAATTCCCTGCACTCTCCCGGTTTAGGTTCTAAAAAGGTACTCGAATTCTCCTTGCTGGTGTCCCCTTGGGCTTGCCAGACCCTTAGTCCTAAGCCCATTACAAGCTTATGTGGACTAAGTTAAACTCGAGAGGAAACATTCCCTTATGCCCGCACGGTGAATAAATTCACACGAAGACATAAGATATATGAATCCCGAAGGCTACTTGCTAGGCATATGCGGTGAATAAATTCACACGAATGCATCGCTTTCACCCCCACTTAAAAGGGTTTGGAGCTCGGGTATAGAGCCAAAGATGAAAAAATTTAAAAAATCTGAAATCATTGAACAAACGTTAGTACAACTATTTACTTGAAGGATAATCAAAGGTAAATAAATGGAATCGAATAAATAAGTTAAAATTTAAATTTACAATTTTTCACATAAAAAGACAACCGAAAAATTAATTTCGGCCTGACTCACTTACCGGTCCCCAGCGGAGTCGCCAAGCTGTCGTAACCGTCTCTTGGTTGGGCCCCGGGATTGGGCTTCGACTTAGGGAAATGGATTGGAGTCGCCACCGACCACTTTAAAACGAATTTAGGTGGGCCGGATACCATCTTTCCTGATCTGCATTTTTACCATAAATGTGTCGGGTTCGGGAGTCGGTTACGGTCAAGGAAGGATTAGCACCCTTGAACCGCCCTTTCGGTACCAATTAATTTGTCGGTTGTCTTTAATTGCGAAAATTGAAATTTAAATTTAAAACGTTCGATTCAGATTACTTACCTTTGATTGGTTGAAAAATATCCCTAAAGTTAGATTATATTATAAAATAAAAACAAATATAAAAAAAAGAAAAAAATATTAATATAATAATAATAATAATAATAATAATAAAATAGATAACAAAGAAAAATAAAAGATAGTAAAAAAGAAAATAATAAAAAAAAATAGATAAAAAATAAATAAAGAAAATGACCAAAATGAATGATATTTAAAGATGGCATGACTAAAGCATAGATTAACCCTTAGAAAGTCCAAAACACACCAATTTACACACAAACACACGTCAATTAGCTTATAGGTCCCATTTAAAATATATTTAACGTGGTTTTACCACCAATATTTGCCTTCACAGTAGTAATAACAATCACCACATACTTGAGGTACCTTTGAACCCCACCATATATGCATGTATTCTTATCTTTGATAATGCACCAAACTTGGCAGCTTCTTGTTGTATCTGAACGCAAAAAGCATCACCACACGCTTGGCTTTCGTGTTCTTAATATAAACAAACAAATGCGTGACGAAAGCAAGCAACAATCCCACGATTGAATATAGAAAACCCACGTTGAATCCTTTCGCTCCGAGCTGCATCCCCGATCTGAAACACTGAAAAAACAAATAAAAAAAAGGTACCGGAAAGCCAAATGGTGAGTTCAGTTCTTGACTCGGCGAACTCGGCCATAGACTCAGATAATCGAGAGAAATCGCCCTGGTTTATCTGTTCGGAGTCATCCTTCAAAGATTTGGCATTGGGGCCGACGAGGCGGATGTGGAGGAGGGAGCTGATGTCGAAGAGGTGGAAAGAGGATTGGGATTCGCGGAACTCGATGTCGGCAAAGAAGAGTTTGGTGTTGGAGTTGTTGTGGTTGGTGATGAACTTATCAGTGGCTTCAAGAAGGTATCAACAACTTGAGAGTTTTATAATTAAGCATGCAGGGACCTTTGTGCTTTATAATCCACAAGCAACGATTACACAGCCTGGAATCCCTGTTTTGCTCATAAATGTCGAACCAGTGTGATTCTCCATTCCACTGTATTTTGCAGAAAAACAAGGTGACTCCTCAGAGATGTGGGTGGAATTTGAACTCAAAGCGGTAGTGGTACGGTAGGACACGGACGCCGAGGTCGTCGTTCTTTGATTCGCAATGGATGTTGATATTCGTCCCGACGTGCACGTCGTTGTAGACTAATATATCCGCTTTGTGTAACAAGAAACCCGCATCGCTCGCAAAGAAAAGCAGCGTTAGAGACAACAACCAGCAGGCACTGTTTATCGACCGTGATTAATGTTTGCTTTTACAAAACAGAATAAAAGCTTATAAAACGACCGTGGTTCCTCTTGTGTTTTGTTGATTTCTTGAGTTTCTGGGTATGAAAGTAGCCACTAGGGTTTTTGTGATGCAGTAGAGAAAGATACGGGTGATCCGATATGCATTTGGTTATGGAGTTTGGAGAGGGTTTTACACAACAAAAGCCTTGGAGCATCGGTTTCCCTCTGTCCTCTCTTCAATTCTTTTTTGCTTTCTATGAACCTGGTATGAACCCCCTTTGAAGTGGAACTTCCTTCTCCTTTTTATTGGCACGGTCTGGAGCAAGTGTATTACCTAGTTAGTGGAGTTGTGGTTATGGACGTTGTGGGAGTAGTGGATGGAAGGGGAAAGCAATAGAGGTTCCCTCATTTTTGGGTAGTGGGTAGTTTGTTGGAAATGAGGGTTGAACATGTGGCCTACAAAATTAAAAAATAAAAATATTATTAACAATAATAATAATAACAATAATAAATAAATATATGATAAAATGTTTTTGTAGACCCGGACAAAAACGGGTGTCTACAATAGAGAATTAATCCTCTTGAAATTCTCGATCATTTGGTATAAAAATTACATGGAAATCATGCTTAAATGATGATATTAGAGATTAGGATTTTCTGAAGGACGTGTTTTACTTTACCTTAATTGTATTACTGCCTAACTAAGTTTTACTTAGCGCATGATGATTTTCATGTGTATGTTCGAATAAAGAAAAGGACGTGAGGTGAGGAGCTTTTCGAGCATCTTTTGGAAATCTAACCTACCGACTGTACCAGTAAGACATCCTATTATTTACTTATTAATGACATGTACATTATATTTGTTGGTTTACTTTATCGGATTTATTTTTTATGGGTCTGTAATAGTAAACTAAGACTATTTTAATTTTAGCTATTTTTAGTTATAATCGTATTTATGAATAAATAATATAAATATTATGTTTTAAATGGTTTTTAAATTAAATAGTATTTATGCAGTTTTATATAGTTATGAAACAACAATGAACTCCCTTATTGCTGCGTAAAATCATATTTGTTTTGAATGATAAATTATTATTTTATGAATATACAAGCTTAACAAAATAGATTAAACCATGTTATATGAAATTTGTTTATTTGTTGTTCATATTTTAGGGAATTAAATAAAAAGATTTATATTTGATCAATAATTTTATTTAACTTAATGAAAAGTGCTTGGAGAAAAACTTAATGAAAAGTTTTTTTTAAAGTTATTGTTTTGAAAGAAATTACAATTAATCAATAAAATGTAAACAAATGATAATCAATAATATTATATAATTACAACTATGATAATCATTACAATTAGAGATGGTAAAAAATATGTATTTGATGAGTTTCGATTTAATTCAATTTAATAAGATTAATTTTCTATAAATTTAATATTTTGAATAGAATAGATTTTTTAAACAAGATCAAATGTTTGAAAATTAAAGAGAACTGCTAGCCCAATCCTACAATAATTACAAAACAATCCTAAACGTATTTATATATTATTAGTTATGATTTGATAAAAATATATTCAAATGAATTAGCCTATGCAGTGTAAGAATTATAAGAAATATTTTAATTATTTATTATATTTAATAATTAATAGTATTAATTATTATTATATTTATTTATTATATTTATTTGTTATTAATTTCAATTTGAAAGATACTCGCATACTGCAGGTCGCGAGTTTCATCATAAATCTCGCGATATTTTAGTTCTCAGGCTACCTCGTGCTTCGTAATGCGCTATATCATTTTATCTAATTCTTTTATTGGCTTACCTGGAAAGTTCGCTTACGTCATATGTATCACACGTGTTAGAAGGTACGAGGATTTAACATGTTTGCAGGTTGCGAGGATATCCTAAATGGACGATTTTGGGGTTATTCTTCTAAATAATTTCTAGAAGACCCTATTTCTTTAAATAATTATTTATTTGAAGTTTTTAATATAAATTGTCGATAGATCAAGCTGATTGATGGGAACAATTGTCTTGAAAACAATACTTTCTTTAATAATTAAAACCATTTAATGAGTTTAAGTTTTATAAATTTATATCCGGCATAAAATTTTACGATATGCTTTATCATTTAAATTTTTTATGTATTTTTTTATTAAAAATCTATTTTTATCATATAAATTTTATAAATTTAAATTTATCTCTTTTAAATTTAAAAATTTAAATTTATCTCTTTTAAATTTTAAAAATTTAAATTTATCTATTACATAAAATTTTGTGTCCATCGTTAATGTTCTAACAAACCTACATAACTGAGAATATAAAATGGAGAATGGGATGGATTCCCAAAGTGAGAGGGGGGACCGGTGGGGTCGGAGAGGAATTGTCGGGTGGGTTAGAGGGCAGTGCACGTTGTCCTTTCGTGCCCATCGCTGGGACTTTACTAGACCAATGTTAAAGGCAGGACCACGCCCACCGCCCCATCTTTCCTCCCTATAAGAACCCCCCCCCCCCCCACACACACACACTAAATCTGCTCCACTTCACTTGTTCATTTTCCATCTCCATTTCATATTTAATCATCAAAAGGAACAAAGATGAAGATGAGCAGTGCGACCATGAGATCCTCTAAGAGAAGGCTATCATCAAGCAGAGGCGTTGGAGGTGTTCTCCGAGAGCAAAGGGCTAAGCTTTATATTATACGAAGATGCGTTGTCATGCTCCTTTGCTGGCATGATTGAACCCCCACTCCTTCTACCTACTAGCCATGTAGGATCTGTGGGGCCTTTTTTTTCTTCCTTCTTCTTCTGCGTCTTGTTTCGGTGGGGGTGTAAATACTGGCGGCGGTCGGCGGATGTTATCGAAGAGTGAAAAAAAAGGGAACAATTTTTGTATGCATTGGCCTTTTGGCCTAGATATAATTAGATAGCTTGAATCGAAGTCCTTAATATTACTTTATTATTTAGCAGAAGGGGCGTTTTTTTTCCTTTCTTTTTTACATCTGCTGGTTTCTGTGATGAATTACTTCATATGCTCACAGGCTTACCCTAATCAACACCATGAGTGCTTGTATATTTCAACAATTTCTCTTTGAATCACAGTTTTGATGGGGTCAAAGCAACTGATATTTAACTTCATCATTTTTGGTTTGGATTAAGTGAAGTAGAAGTGGAGAGATTCATAAGCTCCCCAGTATTTCAAAACTGGAATGCAACTAGAAACATAGATTACAAGTTGATTACAAATGGAAATGTCCACGGGGCTAAGAAAACTACTTTTTTTTCTTTTATCAAAGCCTAAGGAGAGAACCTAAGCAAGATTATTGCTGTAACTTTATTGCCAAATAAACCTACACTTAATTAGGCTTTATTAGTTTAAAATACCCCATATATTCATTAGTTAGGAAAATAACGCATCAGCCATTATTTAGAAAGATACCCCTCAAATTATTAACGTAAGATTACCTCACGTTATGTAAAATATGATTAAAGGATCTCATTTTCTGCAAAACATGAAATCTAATATTAAACTTGGTGGGATCTACACTCGTATCATCTAATCTAACGGGTCAACAAACCTAGTCATTCAATCTCGCCCACGGCCAGGTGACGACCTTGTCTAGTGTTCATCTCGAAGGGTCTACAGGTTCACTACATAAGATGAAACCTACGGGTGTTCATTTTTCGGTTTTAACCGAATTAAGCGACAAAACTAAATTAGTTCGGTTAATTCGGTCGGCCACCGAATTAGTTCGGTTGGAGAACGGTTAATGTTCTTTTTTATATTTGGTTAACGATTAATTCGGTTCAAAATCGGTTAATTAACCAAAATTATTAAATATTAAATATTAAATATGTTAAATACATATTTTAAGCTCAACTCTATTAAGAATTAAAATCCAATTTTTTAAACCACACTAGACTCATTAAATTATTAATACCTAATTAATTTTTTACCCAAATTTTAAAAAAATACTTCTAATATATTCAAATTAATTTAATTAGAAAAATTAAAAAAAAAAATTGGTTAATTCGGTTAACTGACTGAAATAACCAAACTTTATTAGGTTCAATTAATATTTTCAAAAAAAAGTTCGGTTTGGTTAACAGTTAAAGAAACAAAATTTAGTTAATTCAGTTAATGCTAATTCGATTCGGTCGGTGGTCGTTTTAACCGTTTGAACAACTCTAATGAAACCTAGGATTAGAATCGACACTTGGAGTCTCGTACACCATAAAACTTGTAAAAAATTGGTGACATGACCTTCAAAACTTGTTTTTATAAAACATTTCAAAATTAGGTTTTTGTTTCGAGCTCATCTACAGTTCAAGGTTTTAAAATCAAAACCTCTGATACCAATTAATTGTAACCCCTTCGATACAACCTAACCGGTTAAGGCTTTGGGGAAAGTTATGGAGGCACGGGTTGAAAACCCACAAACTGCACAAATTTATTTATTTTTTTTCTAACAAAGAGAGAGATGGAAAAATTATGGTAAAAGTCCTCCAATTCTTTAGCAGCTTCCAAAACAACTTCAAAATTTTCAAAAACTAACAATATGATCTGTTGAAAAAGACCATTTAAAATTACTAAAATTAGTCCGAAAATTTAGGGTGTAATAAGTTAAGTATATATTTAATTTTAGTTCATATATGGGGCTCAGTTGGTAGAGCACAAGGTTCTTAACCTTGAGGTCGTGGGATCGAGTCCCACGGAGGGCATTTCATAATTCGGAGGTCTCCTACGGAAGTTACTCTCAACCTGGTGTTGAGGGCAGCCTACTATCTTACCTCCTCCTTACCCCATTACATATGGGAACAAGGGTCAACCATTTATATGGGGCTAAGTAAAAAATTTAAAAAACTAAAAAATACATGAGAAAAAGGTAAAAGAATTCATGTTAGCGTTTATCTTACATTGCTAACAAACATAGCCTAAATACTCCACTATGCCTATATAAATTACCACTATTATGCTTTTCAAATCATGGAGCTAAAATATATTAAATTATATCTTTAGTCCCCTAGAGTATTATGTTTGTCAAATTTTATTAAAGTGCATTTTTTAGATGTGTTGGGCTATCAATGAAACTCACTTTTTGCAGAAAGCGAGTTTGTTTTGATATAGACGCTAAATTTAATTTCTTGTTAACCTCGCGTTTTGTATAATGTGAGTATTTTTCCCATGTTCAATATTGGATCTGATGTTTAGCAGAAAGTGAAGTCCTTTAATCGTATTTTATAGAACGTTAGATAGTCCTACGTGGACAATTTAAGGGATGATTTTCTAAATAATGGTTGATGGCAGTTATTTTCCTAATTAATGAATATTTAGGGATTTTTAAACTAATAATTCTTTTTAATTACATCGCACGGGGATTGAATGGTAAAAAATTTGATATTCTATAATAAGTTTTTCTTTTCTATTTAATTATTGATATTTGATTTATTTATCGATTAATTTAAATTAGATATTATAAAGATTCATTATGAGAACAACCTTTCTAACTTATTTTATTCATTCATAATATTAAGATTCAAACATTTAAACTTAAAATATTTTCTACTCATCCCACTATAACACTAAATCAATCACTACAATAACTAATTTCATTGTTGTCATAATTTAATTTCATAGTCGAGTACTTTAAAAAATGGGTTTTGTTTTATCATCTTTTATCTTAATCCTAAAATTAAGGGCAAAAATCATGAAATAACCCAAATTTATGTTGGTGACCAAAATGTAAAGTGGCCAAAGTATAAAGTTTGGAAAAGTTTAATGACCAAATTATAATATTCAGAAGTCAGGTATTTTGGGCCATAAATGAATATTTCACCCCAATAATGACATTGTTTTGGGAATAAGAATTTTGGTACAAGATTTGTATTAAAAACTATAAAAATTCGGTATAGAATTGGATAATCGGATCCAATCAAAATTTCATGAAATTTGAAGGATGATAGATAATGGTTGAAAATATTATTTCTAAATTATAGAATAGTGAAATTTAATGTGAATCAATGGAATTGAAGTCGATTTTTCATATTTAGCCGAAATTATAAAATTTAGTGACTAAATTGTAGCTTTCGAAAATTGCAAGAGAAAAGGTGAAAAGTAAATTTTTATTTGTTCATCTTTGACTACGAAGATGATATAGATAAGATGGTGTCATGGATGATGTTATAACAATGGCAAAGTGGAAATTATCATATTTTAGTAAGGTTAAAAGGTAATTTATAATTAAATGAATTTTAAATTCATTTTTATTAAATTAAGACAAGTGTATATGCTAATTATGAAGAGAAAACAAGAATTTTCATCCCCTATTCTTGCTCAATTTGTGCACCACCATAGCTACAAGGTAAAAATTTTATTTTTGATTTTTAAGCCTATTCGATTGATTTTTGGATTAAACTATTAGATAGAGAATTAATCCTCTTGAAATTCTCGATCATTTGGTATAAAAATTACATGGAAATTATGCTTAAATGATGATATTAGAGATTAGGATTTTCTGAAGGACGTGTTTTACTTTACCTTAATTGTATTACTGCCTAACTAAGTTTTACTTAGCGCATGATGATTTTCATGTGTATGTTCGAATAAAGAAAAGGACGTGAGGTGAGGAGCTTTTCGAGCATCTTTTGGAAATCTAACCTACCGACTGTACCAGTAAGACATCCTATTATTGACTTATTAATGACATGTACATTATATTTGTTGGTTTACTTTATCAGATTTATTTTTTATGGGTCTGTAATAGTAAACTAAGACTATTTTAATTTTGGCTATTTTTAGTTATAATCGTATTTATGAATAAATAATATAAATATTATGTTTTAAATGGTTTTTAAATTAAATAGTATTTATGCAGTTTTATATAGTTATGAAACAACAATGAACTCCCTTATTGCTGCGTAAAATCATATTTGTTTTGAATGATAAATTATTATTTTATGAATATACAAGCTTAACAAAATAGATTAAACCATGTTATATGAAATTTGTTTATTTGTTGTTCATATTTTAGGGAATTAAATAAAAAGATTTATATTTGATCAATAATTTTATTTAACTTAATGAAAAGTGCTTGGAGAAAAACTTAATGAAAAGTTTTTTTTAAAGTTATTGTTTTGAAAGAAATTACAATTAATCAATAAAATGTAAACAAACGATAATCAATAATATTATATAATTACAACTATGATAATCATTACAATTAGAGATGGTAAAAAATATGTATTTGATGAGTTTCGATTTAATTCAATTTAATAAGATTAATTTTCTATAAATTTAATATTTTGAATAGAATAGATTTTTTAAACAAGATCAAATGTTTGAAAATTAAAGAGAACTGCTAGCCCAATCCTACAATAATTACAAAACAATCCTAAACGTATTTATATATTATTAGTTATGATTTGATAAAAATATATTCAAATGAATTAGCCTATGCAGTGTAAGAATTATAAGATTAAATTGAAATTTATATCAATTTTATGCTATTAAATTAAATAAATTTCTATTTTTATTTAAATTTTTATTTCAATAAAATATAAAAAATTAAAATTGATTTTTCAATTAAATTGAGATAGAATACAACTTACACCCAAAACCTCAAACTTTTATCCCCCTATCTAGGTTTCATCCAAATTTTTTTATAACTACTAATATCTAATCTATTGATCAATTAAGATCATATACACAAAATCAAGAATGACCTTACAATCCAATTTATTTCATTCATAATAATTAAAATTTAAATATATAATATTACTTAAAAAATTTAGTAATCTTCCTAGTAGACACGTTAGTGATAGGTTTCATTCATTAATGTAACGTCTTAAAGTAAAGAGCGGTGAAGTTGAGGCATTTGTGGGTCAAAGCTACAGTGTAAATGAGTTGAATTATTGGACCACAAGTCATAAATAACCCACGTTCACGTGCGTCCCTCACCCTTGTCCTTTCACAGACGTGCCATCACTAAAACTCAATGAC